CAAGGACAGAGTAGAGAAACAATTTGAAGTAGGAGACACGATTTATGAAAAAATAATTGGGGAAAGAAATAAATTAAAGCCTAGATACAGGAGACAAACTGTCAAAGAAGATTTAGGAAATAAAGTCATAATTAAAAAAAAGGATAGAATTATTCACAAAGATAACATAAAGTTCTAATTTTTTTTCCAGTACCATGTTGTTTATATATATATGGGCAATTTTAGCATTATTCAAAGAACAGATATAATCATTATTTATATTAAATACCCAAAAGTAAGCAATAAATGTAAACTTTATATGGCAAGGGCAGTTTCACACAAAGATGGAAAACTCTTAATAGATGAACAAATATTAAAATGTAACCAAAGTTTTCACAATGTAAAAAAATGCAAAATAGAACTAAGTAATACCTATTGTAACGTAAATTTAACTGAAACTTGTTTTGTAAATTTGTTAAATAAAAGACAAAGTAATTGTACTAAAATTAAGGAAAGAAATAAAGAGATAGATATTATCAAAGAGGGAGCTATATTAATATCCGGTACTCATACCGTTAATGATTTATCCCTAGAAGGAACTTATTTAGTTACATTTAATAATAGTATTATAATTGACAATAATAAATTTGAAAACATCGAAGGGAAAATATCTGAATATCTTAAACAAAATCATGTTAATAATTATAGAATAATAGAGTATGTAAACTCAGAAGATGAAAATTTGAAATTCGAAAACGTAAATATACTTAATCGTTTATATAATAATGTCTCGGGAAATTCCCAGATCAAAAATATTATACTTATTATATTAGTTATATTAATCTTCTCATATCTCTTGTATAAAATTGTAATAAGTATTTGTAAGCGAAAACAAAAGTCGAACGCAAGACATGAAGAAGAATTATTTAATAAAATGAATAATCAAATACAATTACTAACAAAAGCTTATTGAAGAATCGGGACGATTCAACTTAGGAAGGGGGGAGTTATCAAGTCTCGTCTCCTACACTAATTATTGTGTTTATCGTTGTCTGTCCTAAAGGAACAACGAAATATTATCTATTGTATTAACTAAACATTTCTTAACGATCGTAGTCTGTCCTAAAGGAACAAAGAAATATTATCTATTGTATTAACTAAACATTTCTTAATGATCGTTGTCTGTCCTAAAATATTATCTATTGTATTAAACAGGAAATTGGAAATAACCAAACATTGTAACTAAACATTTCTTAATGATCGTTGTCTGTCCTAAATAAACAACGAAATATTATCTATTGTATTAACTAAACATTTCTTAATGATCGTTGTCTGTCCTAAAATATTATCTAT